CCCTTTGAGAGAGGGAAAAAAAAAGCAAGCAAGCAACTTGGCTACTACAGCATAGATCTCAACTATGCTGAAATGTTTGGGTTTGCCAGCTCTCTTATTATACAGCTTGTTTGTGCAAGTCACAGCAAAACCAGATTCGGCTTGTGCTAAGGAAATAGTACAATGTTTCATAGTGTGATGTTATTGCCTGATAAATATCAAGAGGAGGCACAAAGCAATGGCAATGAAAATAAAACAAGAAGGAGCAGCCAAGAGTGGACAAATTCCGAAATTCAGAAATAGTTGAAATACCATGTTGCTCTTCTGGGATTAAAAGCACCTCACATTTTCATGGCCTCCTCAAGGGAACCCTTTTCAATTCTTTCCTATCGCCATTACCAAATCCAAATCACACAAGCCTCTCTACAGACTGAGGGTTTTGCTTTGAAATTTGCTGAAGACTTTAGCAAAGACAGCTTTAGGTCAGTTTGCACCATTCTTTACTCTTTCTGGGCACAGTGTTGTTTTGCAATTTGCCAGCATTCTTAGATAGCACCACGTAAAGGGAACCTCCAGGCATACTAAAACTCCTAAGAGACAAACCAGCTCCTGGCAGTGCATTGCCTTCATGTTAGTTGTTTGGGATAGTGTATGTTCTGGCATCATACTGTTTCTTTGACCAAATAATTCTCCCAACACTTCCTGCATGGTGACTCTCTCCTTGAGAGACAGCTTATCATTTCATACTGTACTCCTTACCTGCTGGGTTTTTTGAGGCCGTGGGGATGTCTAGGGGAAGAGGAAGCTTCTCCAAACCTGGTTAACTACATAAAGATTTGTATTGACTCTGCACCACTGAATTCTGGTTCACATATGAAAATCCCTTCTCCCAACTTTGTGTGATACTCAGAACACTGATACAGTTGTTAGAATAATCCTGTCTGACCTGCTTCGGGTTTCAGAGGCTTTTCATTTGGTCGCTTGGAAGACTGCATTTCCTCTGCGAACAGGAGTGACAGAAGTAACTGCTGAAGGAACTAATTTCCAAAGAGCTTATTCCAAATCTGGGAAGATTCCTTTATTCCATTAAAATCCTTTCATTACCAAGAAGACAGCAACTGAAAAAAAAATGAACACATTTTTATATTTTCTGCTTTACATCTGAATTTGAAAGTGCAAGATGGCTTCTTCAGCTTTAAAAATGGCTACCACAATTAGTCCCTTTGCTAACAATTTCAAAAGAATGGCAGAAGATTGGCTTTATTCCCAAGATGAAGATGAATCATGTTGTTAGGACAGTGTGAGGTGCCACCAAAGGCAGAAGGCTGTAGCAGTGGTTGTTTTGTAGGGCTGGGGATTGGTTTTCCTCCTTGATGTGGTTCATACCCTCTTCAGTAGACATGAGTATCAATCTGGTACTTACTGCTCCCGAGTTTGTTATTAGAGCTCCTGTTCTGCAAGCTTCTCTTTTCCAAATCTCTGCCTGCTGGCAGAGGCCAGTTACAATGCAGTCAGACTGCCTCTAGAACACACCTTGAAAGCCTGCCTGTACTGGGGTGGGTGGGGGAGAGAATATGAGACTGAATATGAGAGAGAGGGAGAGGGAGAGGGAGACGGAGACGGAGACGGAGAATGAGTGAGAATATGAGAGAGAGAGAGAGAAGCAGGGTGAGGCGGCAGCTCTCTATCACTAGAAGAAAGCAGAACAATTCCAATGGCCTAGCTTCTGCTCCCCCTGTATATTCCTTGGCTTGCCAGGGACTTAAATTGTCTCAGCACAGGCATGTTGCTGACATGGTCAAAGACTGCTTCACCTTCTGCAGTGAAATAAATCTTACCCTACCAAACTATGTCCTGTTGCAGCACTTTTCCTGCTGTTCTACAGCATTGACATTATCAACATCACATTCACACTTCCTCCTTTCATACAGATCTTTTCATAGACCTTCCAGAAAGTATTTGACATTAATCTTCCCTTGGATACCCATGCACACCAGTGCCATCACCTTAGGAGAAACCTTGACACAAGTAACCAGTGACTAATGCCACTCTGTCTTACGGATTTAAGTAGAATTCCACCTTGAGCTCATCTGCAGAGTCATAGGCACTGTCTAGACTTCCCTTGATGCCAGCTTCTGATATTCTTGCTTTGAAACTTTGACTCGTTAGCATTCGACACTTGTTCTTGCCTGTTACTGTTTCCTGCTCCTTCTTTCTGAAATGGTAAGATGGGACTTTTTGTTCTGGAGGAATCAAAACTAAATCTGAACAACTTCTGATATTCCTTCTTTCCATAGAAAGAAAATCAAGTAATAGAAAAAGATGAGAAAAAAACTAAGGAGTCATAATAATTTTTTCTAGACTTCATTGGGAGGGGATATAGTGAATCTCGTGAAGACAGTTCTAAACAATTGCTGATATTAACTCATTGTCAGAGAAGGCAAAGGCCCCAGTTATTTAAAAGCATCTCTTTTAAAAGACAAAAAGGGCAACAGCTCTTGTAGCTGTGACCAAGAAATACAAGTTAGTCAAGAGGACCACAGGCCTTGAAGCAGGTATGTGGGAACAGTGTGTACAACACAGAAAACCTAATTGTTCCTTCTCTACCAGGATTTTACAGTACGATAACTGTTATGTATGTTTTGCTATTTTCTCCAGCTCAATCATTTTAGTAGCAAAGATAGTGTGGGGTTTATGGAGTAAGTGATGAGTATATACTTGCAGTTGATGCCCAAAGGCAGTGATGATATAAACACTGAGTTTGGCACTAGCAGAGATCTGGATGGTATCAATGCTAATAAGCTACAACATTATTTACAATAAACCTGACACAGACACCAAAAAGGTCTGCTACCTTTGTTGTAAAGGCCGTACCACTATAAAACCTCCAAAGGTACATTATGAAATGCAGGGTACCTTTCAGCATTTCACTAACCAAAGAAGCAACTATTTTTTATTGCAGATCACAATAGTATTTGTGTGCAAAAACTATCTAATTTGTCTATCATAATATATTTATGTTTTTAGGGGTTTTGTTTGTTCTGGTTTTAATCTGGTAAAACAGGGTATTTCTGTTTCATCTCATTGCTGAGAACTGCTATGTGTTTTTAGACTGCCTAACTTAAGGCATCCCTTATTCTTTAACAAATTTGTATTACTGTGCAAATCTAGTGAGACTGATTCTGTTTGCTGTAAGAAGGACCAAATGCCACCAAAATCTGTGGGAATTTTTCTTAATTTCACACAAACCGAATTTGTTCTCCTTCTACATATATCTTTCTTTTCCTGCTTATTTGTAAACTAGAATGAAGCAATCTTGTGCTATCAGTGGACCACAGGTAGTTTGAAGAGAACCTATTTCTAGCTGTTTGCATTTCTCATAAATTGATAAACTTCAGCCTCAGATACCTGTAATCTTTATCTGGCATCCCTATTCCTAATTCTTTATTTAAGGCTGAAATACAATTCTTACTTAGGCACTCACTTAGATCAGCAAACATAAAAGCAAACGACTTGATGGAGTCAGTGTGACACCTTCAATTATTTTAAGTGGATGCTTTTTTCAATTCCTGCTAAATTTAAGGCCATATGAAATTGGCCCTTTTGAGTCAGCATCACGCAAGTCCAATTGTCTTGTTTTAATGCCATTTCTAACTACCTATTTAAGTTCAAAAGAAAAACCTAAATGCTATCAGTTACATGATGGACTGGATCTGTAGTAGGGATTTGAATCACATTATCACATAACTTTTCAGCCACATTACGCAGCTGTAAACCTCCAAATCTTGGCATACCTGGGAATTTGTATCCCCGGGGACTACTAATATTTTGGTCATTGTTATCTTTGTTCACCTGGGTTCCGGTCTGTCATTGAAGTCCAACACATAATCCATGGTAGAAAAGCAAAAACTAGTTAAGGCTTGCCAGCCACATACTCTATATCCAAAGCCAATAGCTTGCTGTAAGTGTATGGGCCAGTAAGAGGCTTTGTGAGTTCAGTCCACAGCCAGAGCAGGTTGTTATATGTAATTTTGTACAGAAAACTAATCAGCCTAATTTTGCAGTTCATTACTTCACTTGAAAATTCTGTCACTGTTAGAAGGCCTCACTACTATCCCTCATACTTAAATATACATTAGAAAAGCTATAAATTTATTCTTGCCCACCTCATTTATTCTTCTTGTAATGTTGGCCTTTACTTTCAGTTAATCTTTTTTATTTAAATCAGTGATGTTTTTTTCTACCAGTCAGTTCCTTGCCTTTTTTCCCTTGTTTTATTTTGCTTTTTAAAGAGCTGTGATTGCTAATCAACATTCATCAACTGTTTTCCTTCTGTTCTCATGATGTATTCAGTTCCTCACAGGAAAAATGGCTATCTGTTCAGATTTCAGAGATTAGGAAGCTTTTAAATATTCATGGTGATTATTTAGCACTTCTGCTGTTTATCATACAGAGCCACACTATGATATACTTTGTAAAACATCTGTATATGGAAAAGTGGGGTCATCACACAACGAATATTTAATCTAAATAAAAAATAAATAAGCAAGCAGTATCTTTAGTCTTTTTAGTCTAAAAAATACTAAAGGTCTTGAGGTTTCTTTTGTTGGTGGATTTCTCAAATGTCCTCAAATCTTTTTAGCTTCTTGACTGATGCATCCCTCCCTTAGGTGTATCAAACAAGTTGCTCTAATATTGACAATTCAAAATGCCTCTTTTTCGTCTTTTCTACTTCAACATGTAGTTTCCAGGCAAGTCAATCTCATTCTTGTAGCTAGCAGAAAAAAAAAGCCAGCCTATCATTTAAAAATGTGCCACAGTCAGCATAATTTCTGTAAAGCATTTAAGATTTACTGGCAGTATTGTATAAGAAATGCATCAAGCTTTACATTAAACACTCTATCTGTTCTGAGACTAGGCACTGTTTAGTTACAGCCATATGACAAATACCAAAAAAGAGGAATTCTTTATCATCAACTTCAGCCCTAACAATACATTGTGAATTATCTCTTTTTAGGGCATCAAAAAACCTTTTACTGAAGTAATTAAAGCCAATATTGGAGATGCACATGCAATGGGACAGAGACCAATCACCTTCCTGCGTCAGGTAAGAACATTATAAAATATTATTCTTTATTTTTTATTACATTACCAAGAATGCCTTAAAATCTGTCTAATGTGTGTATTAGTATAAATGATTCCCTAGATGCACTTAGACTTAAAATAGTTATTTCATAAAGAATTACAAACTTCGACTTCTGAGACGAAGTCCTATACCTTGCTTGCTGAGTGTCCTCTTTCAACACAGTAGCTTTCCTTACTTTTCAGATCATTCCCCATCCATGCTTTCTCCTGCCACTTCTCCTAAGTTACCAGTCAGCACATTCATTATCAATAATGCACTTCAACAAAGAAAGTGGTTGTTTTCAAAGAAAAAAGCAAATGCCTTTCTTCATCTGGCAGTGTACTTTAAGATCTGCACACAGTTGTGTGCAACTAGTTATGCTGTTGCTGATTTTGCACATTTTACCTCTGGGCAAGATAACTGGTTAACCTAAAAGTTAACTTTTAGGAAAGACTACAACAGAATCCACATTTGTATATTATTCCTAAAACACAAGTAAGGTTTAAAACTAGTATTATGCTATCTACTGAGCATCCCTTACACACACATGTAAAATCCTCAATCTATAATAATGTAAATTCAGAGAGTTCCAGGACAAACTGAAGCCGTATCAAACTGGGGGTCCAGGTGACGAGATTATAAAATTGAGCTATACATCAAACTGTCAGCAAACTAGGAAGACCAGAGCTTCTTACAAATTACTCAGATCCAATGTTATTAAAGAAAATACTGGGTAAATGGGAAATCCGTTCTCCCCATGACTGTGTGCGCACATGGATTAATTCTTTAGTCCCGTAAGATGACAACAGCCTATCCATATTACACCATGTAAGCATAACAATGAGAGAGAGACTGGAACAAATTAAGCTGATCTCAAGCAAGACCTCTAGATTCTTTGTCTTACATTCCTTAATAAACGTAATTCTGCTAGGTCATGTTTTTACTATGTCCTATATCACCACTTCTTTTTTAATTAAATATTTCCCACAAATTCAAATTAGTAAAAACTATAAGTTATTTTTGGGAAGAATTATTAGAACATGCAACTGGGACTTCAAAATTTGATCATATTTCTCAGTTCTGCTCCATATTAAAACTCTTGATTTCTTGTCAATAAAGTGGGCTAGTAATACACAAAGAGTGGAGGATAGAGCTGTTTAGAGATAACATATGAATAATGAACTGTGTTTTACTGTGCTTGCACTATGAATAGCTCACTTGGACTCCAATCTTCACTGTCCGTAATACAAATAGTTAATAATTCTATAACTGTTTTTACCAGCAGAACTTGTAAACCAGTAATATTTCTTCACTTAAAAAAACAACTGCAAACTCTTCATCAATAACCTTTGTTTTAAATTAGCTAGTATTTGTGATCTTCATTTCCAAGGAAAGTTAACAGTAATATTACCAACTTAAAATAACCATTGAGAATTGGCCAATTTACATTTTCTTGGCACTCTAGGTAGTGGCACTGTGTACATACCCAAACCTGTTGGACAGCCCAAGTTTTCCAGAAGATGCCAAAAAGCGAGCCAGACGGATCTTGCAGGGTTGTGGAGGAAACAGCTTAGGTAAGCATCTGTTTCAGTTGCTCCTGTTGGTATTAGAATCAACAAAGATAGTTTCAGTATCTGCAGTGCTGAAATTCCTTAATTCTGTTTTATATGATTACAAGTCAAATGGGAGATGCCCTCGGGCAAAATGATAGGGGGAGAGTTCACGGTGTGGCCTACTGATAAGCAGTGACTAATAGTGCAAATTTTTGATGAGACTTGTCACAGAAGAGGACAAGATGAGGATTATACATTTATGGAGCCCTCACCACAATAACATCTAGGCATAACCCTAAACAGAATGCTGAAGTTTTTTGTATTAGAAAAATAAGTGGCAGAGAGTACTAGTGAAGCTTTGTTACTGTTCTTATGACATCTGTTAATCCTTGGCTCTGACAGCTATGTCTCCTGCTAAATCTAGGTGGGGCTGTTTACAATTTTATCATCTCTAGATGCTTCTCTGCCAAGGAGTCTACTGTCCCTGTAATGACAGTATCAACAAACAATATATGTTCATCTCAGCTGATCCAGTTCACAGTCCTGTATCTTAATTTTGAACCATCAGTCCAAGTATGTTTGTCAGGATATGAACTGGGGTATCAGGTACCGAGGCGATAATTCTCTGCAAAAGGAAAGCTACACAGCTGAAAGGTGGTAGCTTTTTACTTAGCCAAGATAGCTTTAACTGAAGATGTCAAAGCCCTATTTCTCCAAGGTAAAATAACCCTTGAAGGAAATAAAGAACTCTGTTCTTCAACCACTGTTCCTGAGAGAGTATACATATAATATACACCTAGATAAGTACAAACTTTGCATATTCAGTAGAGAGGAAATGGAAGAGACAAATTCTTTATCAGCTAGCAACTGTACTGCCTACTTGTACCTGGGAAATGCCACTAGAATTTCTACTCTGCAGATAGTGTTACAGCTGCTGGGTACAGCAAAGAATCTGGCACACTTAATTACCTTCTTTCGGGTAGGCTAATAGTGACATTTCAGAGTACGTATTAGAGTAATTGGCATATTTCTTAATCTTTGTGATTGCAGTGCCTGTTTGCACTGGTGTATTTTGAGAGTAGGTGCTGTGAAACTTAATAAAATAAACAAAACCTAAATAGTGGTTACATTAGCAGTATTTCAGCCCTGGACTACTCCTAACACCACAGCCTAATACAGAATGTATTTTACCTTCACCTTTTTTGCACTGGTTTTGTTTCTAAATGTAGAACATTAAAAATACATTTATCAAAACTGAGAAGTTCCTCTGGCTCCATGAATTCCTTTCCTGGCTTACTTTGGAACAATTAATCCAAGTAGTATTAGTTGTCATGTAAGAGTTACTGGGGATACATTTGAATTTTGCCTCAATCTTTCTTTGTAGTGATTTTCAAATTCAGGGACATGGGTCTTGGCCCAATGCTGGAGTGAAATGAAAGGAATTCAGCCTTGCATGATATTTCAGAAATATGTTGACTCTGTACAAAATCCCCTTTTCAGCAGAAGATCACATATTTCAAGTAATTCGCGTTAGCTCAATAGACGCTGAGGAAGTAGGCCTGTAACAGTTGCAATAATCAAGTAAGATGATCATTCTGAATACACTCTTTTAATTTCAGTGGATAAATTGAAGTTATGTAAGTAACTGGAGTCTAAATGTTTTTTTTCCTGATATGATATGTACCAAGAACAACTGTCCCTCTAAATTCCTGAAAAACTAAAACCACTGTAGACCTTACTGATCTGCTGTACTGGTTTATGCCTTCTCTCCACCCTCCCTGTCTCAAGTATCATATATCAGCCCCTTCTCTTGGCCTCAGTTGCTCATAAGTCTCTGTACAGCACTCCGTAAACATGCAGTCTGAGGCAAGTGGATGTGCAGCTGAATGGAAGTTACTCCTATTGCTTTGTTGGTAGTCTGACAACTTACTGCTTTCTTCATGGCTGAGAAGGAGAAATTGGCTTTCCTAGGAAAAAGCAAAGGTCGAAAACTGATCCCTCCGTGTAGCTTTAAGTGCTGTGTTGTGCTCTAATAAAACCTTACTTTCAAAAACTTTGTCAATCCAACACAGAAATGGCTTCACTACATATGGTCAAGCTAATTGAAGTGTTGTACCCACAGCTATACTGGACTATTTAAATGTATTAATTGCAAGGTTAATATGAATGCTTTGACCTCTGGATATGAACCAGAATAACCTCACTTCCAATGAATGTTCATTTGGCAAAACCCTACTCATAGTATTGAGTTTTGCTACTCCCAGACCATGTATGAAGGCTCAGATATGTCCTCAACTTCTGTTGTGTTCAAATACTCTGGGATTCCTTTCACATCACTTATTTTGCCTGTGGGATAACTGCCATATCTTTCCAGGCAGTTGAGAAATTTACCCCTTTCCTATATATAACAATATATAATATATGCACATGCAGCTTTTTGGGTTGGGTTTATTCATTTGCATCCTACAATGCAAACAGATGGGTTCTAGTCAAAGCTGTCAATTGAGTACAATTAGTGTAGAAGACCTGAAAATTTAATTCAGGTCTTCTGTATATCCTCACTGAGTCATGGGACTTAACCCTCAATGGAGCACAAGACAGAATGACAGCTTAGGTTTGTTCTCCTACTTTAACAGCAGGTTCCTAGCTGTGGTCAAAGGTCCATGTATAGTCCATATATCTACAACTTTTAGTCCTGTAAAAGTAAACGTTTAGGACATCAGGGAACTTTGTGCCCTGAATTACCATTTTGTCCCATGCAATTGTGCAGTACTTGGAAAGGTTCTTTGTCTTTATACATTATGCTTTCACAGAAGTATTATCAGGCAGACTACTAGCATATAACTGAGTGATGAGAGTTAAGTCAGGCACCATTATTCCACTCCACCCAACAAGCAAAGAAAATTCTGCAGCTTCATGACAGTGTTCTAAATTAGATGTACACTTGTCACTTCATTGTCCATCCGTCTTAGGCTTCATAGCTTGAATCCATTCCTCATCTTGGCTTAGGCTTATTTTTACTCTTTATTTGTTGCACGTGCTCAGCACTGATGCACACAGGCATCTAACACCTTACTTTGTTTAACATTATTAGTTGTGCTCTGTAAGCTGCATGAGGCTTATAGATTGAGGTGATCCTAGATGTTTCTGCTACAAGTAACTGAAAAGTGGTTGTGGGAGATGCTGTGCGGGGAGAGAGAAGCAGTTTAGGATTTTTTCGGTTTCAGACTGTGGGAGAAAATGGTATTATATTGTTTTCATATTGCAAATAGAAATCTTATTTTTGTCATGGATTTGAAGAAGTTATTTTCCTTTCTATTGCACATGCTACCTCTGTTCCTTGTTCCCATTACTTAAAAAGGTGTTGGTTGACATTCTGAAGTGGTTTTCAACATAAAGCAAGCAACTGGGAGATAGTCAAAATGGGATTGCTGTCCCAGTTTGCAAAGTAGCCTTTAAGTCCTACTTTTTACCAATCTGGTATATTATTTTTGTATTTTAATGATACTTATTATATTTGCCTAATTCCAAATTAATTCTTTTGCTCTATGAACAAACCAACTCCCCTTCCTACTCCTTGAAAAAAGAAACAATCCTGGGCATCCAGAGCCCTTGTATATACAAACTACTTAATGCAATACTAGCTCAGCAGTTTTGTTAGCAAACAGAAAATCTAATGTTCATTGTACTCAATTCTCATCTCATTCTCTATTTTTCACAGGATCTTACAGTGCCAGTCAAGGTATAAATTGCATCCGTGAAGATGTTGCTTCATATATTGAAAGAAGAGATGGAGGGGTTCCTGCAGATCCAGATAACATATATCTTACCACGGGGGCAAGTGATGGTATTGCTGTAAGTGTTAAAATTAAACCTGTATCTTCTTGGTATAAACTATAATTTATCAGTTACCTTTGGAAATACAGATCTCTGTTGAACATCTGGTCTCACAAACTCCTGTGAGTTTGATCTAACAGATACTGAAGTCACATTAAGTGGATATCCAATACACCCAATTATGTGGATGTAACATGCCAGCTAAGAAACAGGCGCATGGAGACAAAGTCTCTTAATATACATTAACTTGTACATTTTGTAAACTACATAGGTGCCTAAATATAAATTAAGGAGATTCAGACCATTCAGACTAAATAATGGTGTCCTCAGTGGTTAAGATACGTAAGTACTGAAGATTACAGGGTATGAATCAGTGGCAGAGAGAAGAGGGAATGACCTCGGAGGTGAGAAGTCTCAGCAGCTCTTCTTCCTAGTAAACTCTCTGCTAGTGCAGATTAATGCCAGTGAAAATCCCGAAGATCTATTTCAGTATCCAGCTTGTTTGGAAAAAACTTCAGGTTTTGGCTTCAACCAAGGTTCAAAGATGGTCCTCGTCTCTATTAGATTTTTCCTTTACACAGACACATTTACTGATATTACAACAACCAGCAGTTCTTTGGTTTTATTAAGGCAGCCTTTTATAGCTTGTTTGTAAAAGTTTTTTTTAAAATGACATCTAGTGGCAGAGTTCAGAATGACAATGTTCTGACATGAACAATTCCCCAGATGTCTTTAGTGAATTGGCTTTCCAGAGTTTATGATGCCAAGTGTTGTACTGGCAGCTTGTCAGGAACGGCAGCATAGCATATCAAATCTGTACCATGCTTATTTGATTTCACCAGTGATGAAAAGTCAGCAGTACAATGAGTCTCATTATTTGGCACTTCCAAGGATAAAACAACTTTTTTATCCTTGGAAGAGGGGGACAGAGGGTGTTAAAGAATTTTTAAATTTGCATTTGGTCCTGATTATACATTTTGGATGCTTGGTATTTTTAAACTAGTGGTGGGTACAAAATTATGTTGATTATAAATCATTAGCTTAGCAGCTGAGTTAGTATGCGATGAGAGGCACAGAAAGGCAGATTTTGCTCCAGAACCAACAAGAAGCTTAAAGGATACTGCTGTTATAGCTGAAGAGATATTTTTGGTTTTGCACTCCCAGTTACATGTTGATAAGGATGCCTGCTTTGATTGCACCTGTGTTTCAGAGTTCTCCCTTGATTATAAAGGCAGAAATCTCTCCACTTCCAGCACGAAATGCACTCTTTTATTTAATTCATATGTAAAAAGCCTATGCATAGACACACACAAACACACAGCCGTTGGGCACAGGTAAATCCTCTGGACTGACCTTAGCACAAGCATTACATTTCTGTCTGTATCTTCTGGGCATAAACTATGTATGATATATTAGATTTCCATCCCAAGACATGCAGACTTTTGGTCTCTTCTGTTACTTGAAAATGAAGCCATAATGCGAGTCTCTAGCTTTGTTCCCACCTGGCCACAATTGCTCCTAATCTAAAACAGGTCTCTCTCTTCCAAAGGAGAACCTCCACAGGCCCCAGTTCTAATTTCTGGTTTTATTTATTGGCCTCTTGTGATTAATGAGATAAAATGCGTGGAAGGCAACAAGCAACAACTAGCTGAGGCTTCTTTGCTTACAACTGGGCACAGTAGAAAAATCATGATCTTGATATTCCTGTTTCCAACGTTCCCTCTAGCCTTTTGCTCAGAATGTTTTTCCTAAATTTTGCAGTTGAACAGACATGATCTTTAGAAGCCGTGACACGCAGAGGAATTCCATTAAGCTGAGTTAGACCATCCTCACTCAGCCAGTAACTTAACTTGAAATAAATAAATGCCCTTTGAGATGAGAAAATGACTGTATGCTTCTAGAATAGAAATCTACCTTAACTCTAGATTTTTCAAGAAGGAAGATCAGTAACTTATTCTTGTGTGTAACTTTTTTTTCTTTTTTTAATTCCTACTTTTTCCCCAGACAATTTTAAAGATCCTGGTCTCAGGAGGTGGAAAATCCCGAACAGGAGTGATGATCCCTATACCACAATATCCCTTATATTCAGCAGCCATATCTGAACTAGATGCTATACAGGTGAACTACTATTTGGATGAAGAAAATTGCTGGGCGCTAGATGTGAATGAACTTCGCCGTTCATTGAATGAAGCTAAGGCATATTGCAATCCAAAAGTCCTCTGCATCATCAACCCTGGAAATCCCACAGGTCTATACCAATTTTGTTTAATGGATGGGGTTTAAGACCAATTTTTAAGACCAATTTTTTTTTCCTCTTTCATTCATTTGACATTGCAGGCAAATCCTAAATACATATCAAATATCTAAAGCTGAATTCTAGAGATCAGTGCTCTAAGTAGGTCAGTATATCATACTTTTAGAAACTTATTTTCAGTATCATGGAACTCCAGGGATTTGGGAAGAGAGGAGGTTCACTTCACTGGATCCCATCTGAAGCCACTGCTTCCACTGAACTTTTGCAGACTTGTGGAATGACTTTCAGTCACTTTTGGTCTTTATCAAAGATCTTGTCTCTGACATGGCCTGTAACCTCTCGCCTCTGAGAGACTACAGATACACTCTGAACCCAGTGCCTACCACTGCCTCCCTCAGAAGAATTTAGTTTTTTGAGTAGTTGAGGTTGATTAGTGAGAACCTAGCTCCCACTTAACCATCGTGCATGTGAGTATTTCACATGATCAGTTACGCACAGAGTACTCTTAAAAAGTTATTGATTGACTACTGTATCTCACACTTCCTTTGCTTGAGATGGACTAGGTTACCTTGAACCATAACTCCTCCAAAAATATTCCTTAATTTCACACTTAGTGAATTGAATTCTAAAATTCAATAGCACTTTTCTGAGAAAGAGGGATATCTTACTGAAAAGCTAGTAGTCTAACTAGGTCTGGGCGAAAAGATTCGTATATATATGCTCCACTAACTTTCTTCTTGCCTTAAAAATCAAACTACAGGACAGGTGCAAAACAGAAAGTGCATTGAAGATGTGATACACTTTGCTTGGGAAGAGAAACTTTTTCTTTTGGCTGATGAGGTAATGGAATATTCTGTTCTCTCAAAAGCACAGCTAAGTGTACGCATACGAGGTGTAATTTTGTTCCATGTGTGGTATTGGTATTTTTTAAGTACAGGCAACAGATTCTCTGTTATCATATTAAGACATGAATAAACATGCAAGATTCCTAATATCAGAGGATTAATATGAGAGGTGGCTTGATCTGGATTTGAACTAGAAAGTGTAGGGGACACAAGGAAGGAGACACAAGGAGGAACTTTTCTGGAACTGACCTAAAAACCTATGTGATACTCAGACCGCTTCAAATGAAAGAAATAGAAGGAAAATCAATTTAAACATAGAAGTAAAGGTTAAATTATACAAAGAAGCTCACTGTTCTTCCAAAGGCTAAACTATTAAGTTTGTCCACATGAGAGAAAATGTATCATTACAGTAACTATTTCTTAACACAGAACCTTGTGTCTTCTAACGGCTTTAAGTTTTGAGTGTTACCACTGTTTCTTCAGTTCAGATCTGGCTCTCTAAAAGGCCATCTTTTATCTTAGTTGGGGGAACAGAGCACATTAATGTCTTCTGACTGTTCAGGTTTACCAGGACAATGTGTACTCTGAAGGATGCCAGTTTCATTCTTTCAAAAAGATTCTGTATGAGATGGGACCCGAGTACTATAACAATGTTGAGCTGGCCTCTTTTCATTCCACCTCTAAGGGATACATGGGCGAGTAAGTCTGCTTTAGTTTTTTTTTAATTTCATCTTCCTCATTAATCTGCTTGGACAGCCATTTCATGTTACTGACCTGAAGGTAATCCACTGTCTTCTATTAATTTTAAATAAAAACTATTAAGAAAAGGAAAACAAGCATTTAAAGCACAGAGTAATGGATTAGCTCAGTGGTTTTCAAAGTATACCAAATAATAAGTGTATTTATTTCAGACAGCTAATGCCTCAGTTTCACTGAGGTGAAATCCTACAGTCCTAAACCAGACCTGTGATAAAGGAAAACATGGTCTCCAACATTCAAGGGAACAGCTCAAGAATCCCTGGGGCAATTGATATTACAGATGTTTGGGTTTGGTTGTTTTGGGGAGGAAGAGATGGAAGAAAAAGAATTTTCTGATTAAATGAATGCTGCCACAGCCATATGCTCTTGTTCTGAAGAGCAAACAATCCAAGTAAATCATTAACTTGCCTAACAGGGAAGCCACATGTACACGATTTTCTCTGTATGGGATACTAGGGCTTAATGACGAATCATTTAGTTCCATCTTAAAACATTATCAGGATAGCAGCTATTTCAACAACCTGTATGTTACATATTGTAAGATCCTCATTAATTGTCTTTCCACTTCTGCAGTTATTTTCATTGCTTTTCCAGTATTTATACACTTGAGGTTAACCGATCTTTTCTGTTCACTTTAATCACAGATGTGGCTACAGAGGAGGTTACATGGAGGTCATTAACTTGCACCCAGAAATTAAAGGACAGCTTGTTAAGCTGCTTTCTGTTCGCCTTTGTCCTCCAGTCTCAGGACAAGCAGCAATGGATATTGTAGTGAATCCTCCAATACCTGGAGAAGAATCTTATTCACAGTTCATAAAGGTTAGCAATAACATGCTTGTTCTTTTGTGCATTTCCTAAACCTATCGTAAGTATTGTGAACTCAGAATATGTTCGGAGACCAGACTTCTTTCCTTTCTTCTCAGACAATCCTGTAATAACACCAATTTACAGAACTATGCAGGATATTTTAAATTAACTCAATATGACTACCTTTAAAAATATTTTTTATTCCTTTTATGGTTGCTTTGTTTAGGAGCCAAAAAAACCTAAGAAGGTATTATCAAATCAGCTTTCTTGCTGATAAATTCAACTTTTTTCCGTGTTTAGCACGACAACAGAATTACTAAATAAGATTTGTTTTTACTAAAATCTAAACAGGAATGTAAGTTCAAATACAGTTGTAAAATCAGCCTTGTTCTTAGGTATCCAGTGCCTCTATATAATGAACAACATGGTATTCTGTATTAAAGAATACATACAGTTTCTCACTTGTAAAAATGAAACTGAATCTGGCTTAAGAAATTACAGTATTGAGTCACATCAAAGGTTCTGCTAACGTGGTCTCTAAAAATAGCCAAGAGTGGATGCTCAGAAGGAAGAATGTAAGAAGAGGACATGCAGGTAGAGACTTCTGCAGGTTAGTGTCTATCTACAACACTTTGTAGTTGTATCCTGCTAATGCCTTTTTGCACTGCTGTCTTTAAGATTATGACTGGAATTAGGAACATCATTTGCTCTAATAACTCAGCAAAACCCTAGAAGTGCTTAATTCGGGGAAGGCTTCTTGAAGCATCATAGTTTTGTCTGGCGTTTTTACTGCCACTTCAAATATGTCACACTGAACACCTTCCTTTTAAACAGGAGAAGGAGTCTGTTTTGAACAATCTTGCCAAAAAAGCCAAACTAACAGAAGACATGTTTAACAAGGTACCTGGAATTCACTGCAATCCACTTCAAGGAGCTATGTATGCTTTCCCACGGATCTTTATTCCTTCCAAAGCCATTGAGGAAGCAAAGGTCAGTCAGTCATTTTTACCCCAATCTATTTTAACCTTCACACACTTGTGCCTGCCACTTCTAATGATGAATTTTTATTCCAGACATAGTGTAAGCTCATGTAGTTACAAAAGCAGTAGTTCACGGACTACGTATGATCTTAAATATAACATGACCTTTATTTTAAGAGAGGAAAACAAAACAGAGCATTTCATCACAGTGGTAAGGCTTCCAGGTTGAGAATGTTACCCAAGGATGTTAGTGTTAAATAGATTAAGTCATAGGGTGGGCAAGTAACTGGACATGTGCAAATTCCAAATGGCTGCCTGTGCCCAGGTTAGGTAGGCCAGCATGTGTGACGGGGATTGTGAATGGCAGTGCTACCGATCCTGCAAAAGAAGCCCCATTCAGCAAGTGTGGGAAAGAGGGAGGCAGGTTTCCTTACAAATTTTACTTCTGTACCTTTTTGTATTTGGGTCAGTAAGCTATATTACTAAATGACAAGTCTTTTTGTTCCTAACTAGAGCTCTATTACCTATGTGTAATATTCATTTTTTAAAGGGAATTTTATCAGCATCGTTGAGGACAAAAATAGGGTTGTTTTTCAGCTGATTATTTGATTAGGCATATAACCTGCATGTATTTAAGAACTTCCATAGTTATTAATCAGGGGACTTTCTAGTCAGCAGATAATTCAGGGGAAAAAAATAGTAACTGCCAACAGAACTGGAACACACAGCTCTCAAATTAATTTCATCTTGTCAAATGTCAGTGGCTCAGATTTTTTTAAGTACAATTTTGAGACTTTTGACAAAAAGTTACAAGCAAGTCAAGGAGAAAAACAAAAATATCTAAAACCTTTCTTTTGAAGTGAGTGTTTTGTGTAGGTTCTTCAGCCTTGTTCCTCTATGAAAATTCACAGTGTGAACTGTCCCACTAGCAATTGTTCTTCATTTTCTTTAGTAAATAGAATAAGAAACTAGTAATGTAAGATAAGGTTTCAGGAAGAAAAGCAATCATGAAATTCTATATATTTGGAGTATTATTTTGACTTCAGTAATTCTAAAGCATCCATTCCCTTAGGCTCATAAAATGGCACCTGATATGTTCTATTGCATGAAACTTCTGGAAGAAACTGGAATATGTGTTGTACCTGGAAGTGGATTCGGCCAAAGAGAAGGAAGCTACCATTTCAGGTACAGTTTCTGTTTGTTTAAAATCAAATTAACTGTAATAAGCTAAGTACCATCCCAGTACTTTCTCTTCTGATTAAATGTAAGGATTTTTATTTCAGTTTATGTTGTCTCACTTTCTACTGGACATTTTCTGTGGGCTGACAGCTAGGTCAAAGAACCTGGTCTGCTAGATGAGCTATTCAGGTTTTTACGGTGTTTTCACAGCTTGCTGACATAGTTTTATTCTGTTTTTATACACTGACATTTGAAATGCCTTCTCCACGAATATAAACAATAATAATAGGTTATACTCTAATCTTAAAGTTGGCTAAGGCATTACAAAAATTGCCCTGCTTTCTTCTGTGGGGAGGAGAGATTAAACAGTGTTTCCATATGGAGAAACTGCATGAAAGATGCAGTATCTTCCCTATAAATCTGCTCCTTAAACACGCTGAGTAACTCTTCACTTTACCAACACAAGATGTTGGACTAAATCTTCTAATACCAAAACTGTGAACATAAACTCTATTGCTTTTGCTTCCAATAAACAGCACTTTACTCCAGCTGAGAAATTATCATGGAATTTAGTCTTGTTTGGTCTGAAGCAACGTAACAGAGGGTACCTTTAGCCGTGATAGTTCTGCAACACAGATAGCTGGATTACATATCTGGGTGCATGCAGCTCCAGCAAAAAGCTAGTGTGAGTCCATTCCTGTACCAGTGTGGGAAAAACATTTTGTTCTTGCATACAGTCTTGCATACTCAATTATGCAGATTATGCAGAAGAAGGAAAAAAGGCAATAAAGCTGCAGTGTGGGATGTTGCATTGTTTTAATGCTTCTGAATTAAGTTTTCAATTAAAAAAGAAATGTACATTTACTCATAACTGCTCGCCCCTAAAGCTCAAAAAACCGGGTATAATTTGGCATAACTGCACTAAAAATGGAAACTAAGTTGCTGTTATTTCTTACTGATAACCTTCTTTATCACTCAACAGAAAATAACAATTCTTGAATTCCTATATATTAACCAATTGAAACAAATTGCTCTAGTTTAATAGTATAGCTCAATTAAAGCATAAATGCAGAAAATAAGAGAATCACATCAAAACAGATATTAAACTTAACACGTTACTAGCTGTGCCCTGTGATTAATCAAGATCTATGCAAAGATCACAGTTTAGTTTGTTTTGAAGATAATGTGGGTTGGTTTTTTTCTTCCTTTAAATATTATTTTTCAGAATGACCATTCTTCCTCCAGTAGAGAAGCTGAAGATCCTACTGGAGAAAGTGAAAGACTTCCACATAAAGTTTCTTGAAAAATATGCATAAACTACTGTGGCTTTTTCCCCTCATCCCCTCCCCTTCAAGGCGAATGCAGAAAATGAACAAAGATGTGCTGAGAATGTGCTGTTCATCTAATTTAACTAAATTCAAAATAGATACAAACAATCTCAGATACTGCTACAACTTATTGGATTGTTAAATTTAATATCTGGTATAGAAGACATTGTTACACCAACTTTTTTTTTAAAGGGAAGGGGAGAATGTGAAGAAAGTGGTGAGAAGAAAGAGTCAGTAAATGATTTTGTGCCTTGATTGGAAGTTACATTTGTGAACTTTTGACTCAATAGGTTGGGGAAGGGAGTTGCTCATTAAAATTACTACTGTTGTGTGGGGTTTTTTTTACAAAACAGAAATGCCAAGAGCCATTGTTTAGCTAGGAACATGTTTCCCATCTTAAAATTCTACTAAGCAAAAATGCAAAAGCCTACATTACAGGTATATTTTGGTTTAATTTTTTTTGTTGTTGTTCAATATGAAGTGTTCTCCAAATCTGATTAAGCATGTAGATACAGCTTATCTGTGTTTATTCAAAAAAAAAAATCTTCGGCAGATGTGTGCAGATACTTTTCAACTTCTGTTAAAAAGGAATCCTGCCATCACAGCATAATGAGTGGAATATACAGTTTTGATCAGAGGAGTGAACATGGTGTCTGCTTGAACCCTATTTTTATGAAACTGACACATGGTGAGGAATATTAGCTTCTTATTCATATGCTATTCAACACATTATCCCAGCATAAGATAAGAGCACTGAACACTTCCTCTCATAACAACTCCATGAGTCTCCTGTTAACTCACATCTTTTACATACATGGAACATAGTAAATTACTGTTTCAAAGCAGATGTGAGTACTGTCAATCCTTTCAAGTAGGGTGAAATACAACACTATTTCAGAATTGCTTTATCTATGGAGAATATTTGTTTGGAACCACCTGACTGACAGACCCGTTAGCTGGCCGAAATCCAGCTTGAACTGGCAAGGACTAACAAATGTTGTTACCAGGAGAAATGCTGGGGGTGGTTTCTAATGAAGGAAAAGGTATTTAAAGGAAAATGTCTTGCACCAAGCATAAAGATAATGGTAGTACAGCTCACTCTTAAATCTTCCACAGTCATACTGCTGGCTGAATGACCCCAAATGCTTATTAAAACCCAGCTAAACCAGGTCACTATCTAGGAGTACAGGTGTATTACTCTACTAATCTATGCCAGTTTCCCTGCACAACACAAGAAAGAAGGCTTCTGTTTCTCTAGAGTTGGAAGCTGGACACCTTCTGCTAGCACTGATAAAGGACTGAAGGAACACGGCTTCCAGTATTCAGCCATGAAACTATTAGCTTGTCAGGCTTAGGCTCAGCATTTACAAAGTTTATTCATTAAGAGTATCTCATTCAATCTAGTCATTAATTTTAAGTTATTACTTAGAAGTAAACTCATTTTAATGTCTACTAGCACTTTGTTAGGCTGCCTTTGTAGCTGGTTCAACATTCTATGCTGAGCCAGGTTACTAAAGCCAAGGGCTAGAGAATCACCATATGGATAAAGCATGTGCCAATCTATTATGTGTGGAAGACAAGAGATGTTGCCAATAACTGTCCTTGCAACAGCAGCTACTAGTCTATGACATAGCATTAGCAGTTGGTGTACTTCTTACAGCTCCTTACTGAAGACTGTGAGAAGAATTTAGTACTTCTCAATCACCTGCCAGTGGTCACAGGTTCATAAATGAAAATGGCACGCTGCTACACAAAGTTACTATGGAGGCTTGGAGAAAAAAAATTTATACTTTTATCCTTGGAGAAATGGATTTCTTGGAGCACAGCAGACTGAGAACACTTACGTTGCTACTATCCATTGATAAATACAACCTTTTATCTGTTAGCACTCTCCACTTGGCATCCTTAATATGCACTAATAAAACAAATTCAGAAATCAAAACTGTAGTAAGAGGTCAGAATATTAAGGTAAAAATAAGACAAACAGCATTTTCCTATTCTAGGAATGTGTCCAAATCAGATCTGGCTTTGGACTTCTAATGCAGTGTCGATTGAAGCTAAGATCTAACAATGGGAGTTAGAATATTTTTTTATATTTTTGTAACTACAGCTTTTTCATAGGATAGTATTTGTAATCTAATAAGTCAATAGATTTTATATTTGCCTTGCATTTGCACCTGATACTTCTGGAAAAAAATGTAAAGGTTTACAAGTTTCTAATGATAATTTACAGGTGTGAAAGGCTTTTTGTTTTAAGTCGGGACAGCAATTCTTACACTTTTAAATCAAAATATAATGACATAAACTGAGTTTTTTCTAAACATTCTATTATGGTGCCTTTTATGTTTCTGACATTATAAGGGATAACAATTTGTTCTTGATGCATCTCATATGGAAGGGTGGTGATTTCTATTGTCCATCTACAATATTTGTATGTACTGTGATAAGGATAATGTATTTTTGTGGAACAATCCTGTAAAGCTAAGAAAAGAGGCTTATTTTCAATGTCTTTGAAATATTTCATGAATAACAGACAATCCTTACTTTCAAATGCATGCTTCTAGATTTGATTTTCCTACAGGTGCTCCTTAAAATGGTACTTCAGATGTATGAGACTTCCAAATAATAAAGCACATGTTAAAAAAAAAAAGGTAATAGTTCTCCATTTCCTATGTCACTGAAGCAACACTTGCTGGATTGCACTATGAGGGCATTTAACTTCATGTTCAAACTAGTATTTACTTTAATCCATGTACCAGTTCATTAATTTCTGCATCACTCCAATTTATGGGCTTGAAATTTGTCAAACTTGTTACCACAAAACTATTCCCTAGCAACGCAGAACTGTACATAGAGATGGTCTTAGGCATATTTTATGCTCATAATTAATCATCTCTTTTTATGTAAGGAGTTGTAACCAAGAGTTAAGCAAGCCAGACTTCTTTCTTCATAAAGAGGATAAATCAGTCAGTTAAGGCTGATCAACTGTGGCCTGAAAGCTTTGGTGATGGGTTTGTTTGGTATTGTCGGTTGTTTCCTTTTTAAAAAACTTCTTACACGGCTTGTACGAGACTAAACTTACAGAGCAACACAATCTTGTCTTTTTGCAGTGACACCTCAAAATGACTTTACTGGTGTTTGTTTGGTAATTCAAAAGAAAATGAAGTTTAGGGAAAGGGAAGGTAGTCCTGCTTCCCTAAACATATATGCATATGCCAGCACCACTGAAAAAAAGCAAAAGCAGGCTATTTTCTCCTTTGTGTCAGATATTTGAGTGTTTTCTGGAGCAGAAACATTTACCTGGGTTTTTTTGGGAGTAGGTTGTTTTACAAACAAGAACATGGTCTGAAATAAAATGGTTATATTATGAATTGTCAGTCAGATTTTTTACAGCTTTTTTTGAGTGCCATAGGCTGTCACATCTAGATCAGTAGATAAGGATACTGTGCCAGATGCATATGATACAGAAAAAGCCACTAATTTCAGAGTGCTTGCAACATCAACTACATACACTGTGTGAAAACCACTAGTGTTTTAAAACTTTATCTAAATTCCTTTTTACACAGTTCCTTGGTCAATAAAGAACACAGGTTTGATCATTTGTACAAAACCCAAAATATTCATACCTCTGGTGTGATTTTTTTATTTGGATGCATGTAAGATAATGTTTCTGCAGGGAATTCTACTTTTAAGGATATGGCTTTGAATGTTTTTATACATTCAGTACTACGTGTAGTCATGCCTTTCTAATGCTCCACATTATTACATGTTTATTAAATACTCTTTTCACCTGATTAGAATTTACACAACCTGTAACCATTTGCATCAGGCAGAACAGGTTATTCACTTTGCTAGCTCTGAAGCACTGCACGCTGAACAGCAGTAAAGTAGCTAAAACCAAACCTCAGCTGAAATAGGGTCCCTCCTATACAGTAGAAAGGTTTCCCAGTACGTGTCCAAACCCTGGCAGCACAACCGCTGCCTGCCCCGGGCCCCGGGCCTGCCTCCCACACCCTCCGGCGCCGGTTACTACTCACCCCCGGGATGAAAGGGGTCATCTGCCCTACCGCAGCTCCTCATGTGCCGAGGTCAGCAGCGGCCGCTTCAAAGCAATTAACAAAAAAGCACAATTAATTTTGTTCCACCAGGACAAAGCGCGTCTGCGCGTGGATACACGTGAGCCTGCCCAGCTCCTGTCAGGACGCGACGGGCCCGGCTTTGCGCCTGTCCAGCCGTGCCCAAGTTCCC